CCCCCCGGGGGTGGGGGGGAGAGGGTACAGACCCCCCGGGGGTGGGGGGGGAGGGGGGTACAGACCCCCCGGGGGGTGGGGGGGAGGGGTACAGACCCCGGGGGGGGGGGGGGTACAGACCCCCCGGGGGGGGGAGGGTACAGACCCCCCGGGGGTGGGGGGGAGGGGGGTACAGACCCCCCGGGGGTTGGGGGTACAGACCCCCCGGGGGGGAGGGGGGGTAACAGACCCCCGGGGGGGGAGGGGGGGTACAGACCCCCGGGGGGTGGGGGGGGGTACAGACCCCCGGGGGGTGGGGGGGGGGGGGTACAGACCCCCGGGGGTGGGGGGGGAGGGGGGGGGTACAACCCCGGGGGGTGGGGGGGGAGGGGTACAGACCCCCCGGGGGGAGGGGGGTACAGACCCCCCGGGGGGGGGGGGGGGGGGTACAGACCCCCGGGGGGGGGGTGGGGGGGGGAGGGGGGGGTACAGAGACCCCCGGGGGTGGGGGGGGGTACAGACCCCCGGGGGGTGGGGGGGGGGGGGGTACAGACCCCCGGGGGGGAGGGGGGTACAGACCCCCGGGGGTGGGGGGGGGTACAGACCCCCGGGGGAGGGGGGGTACAGACCCCCGGGGGGTGGGGGGGGTACAGACCCCCGGTGGGGGGGGGGGGGGGGGTACAGAACCCCCGGGGGGTGGGGGGGGGTACAGACCCCCCGGGGGGAGGGGGGGTACAGACCCCCGGGGGGGGAGGGGGGGGTACAGACCCCCGGGGGGAGGGGGGGGTACAGACCCCGGGGGGGAGGGGGGGTACAGACCCCCCGGGGGGGAGGGGGGGTACAGACCCCGGGGGGGGGGAGGGGTACAGACCCCCGGGGGGAGGGGGGTACAGACCCCCGGGGGGGAGGGGGGGTACAGACCCCCGGGGGTGGGGGGGGGAGGGCTTTGCCGACGTGAATGCAATAAAAGGGGCCGCACTGTGGGATTTGGGGCAGTGAACCCGCGGGACTGAGCGGCGGAGGATCAGAGTCACCGCGAAGGTCACTGGTCAGGTCTGTGTGTGTGTGTGTGTGTGTGTGTCTGTCTGTGTATGTGTGTGTGTCTGTGTCTGTCTGTGTGTCTGTCTGTGTGTGTCTGTGTGTGTGTGTCTGTGTGTGTCTGTCTGTGTCTGTCTGTGTCTGTCTGTGTGTGTGTGTCTGTCTGTGTGTGTGTCTGTGTGTGTGTGTCTGTCTGTGTGTGTGTCTGTGTGTGTGTGTCTGTCTGTGTGTGTGTGTCTGTGTGTGTTGTGTGTGTGTGTCTGTGTGTTGTCTGTGTGTGTGTCTGTTGTGTGTGTCTGTGTGTCTGTGTCTGTCTGTGTGTGTGTGTGTGTCTGTGTGTGTGTCTGTGTGTGTGTGTGTGTGTGTCTGTGTGTGTGTCTGTGTGTGTGTGTGTGTGTCTGTGTGTGTGTCTGTGTGTCTGTGTGTCTGTGTGTAACTGCGTATTACTATAGTGATGATGAGCGTCTCTTAAAATATTAGGAAAGATGAGCAGTTTCCCCTCTGTCTCTCTCTCTCTCTCTATTTCTGTCATTCTCCCCCTCTCCCCCTCTGGTCTCTCTCCCCTTCTCTCTCTGTGTGATTCTGATATAATTTATTAAGGGATGTGTATGTGTGTGTGTATGTGTGTGTGTATGTGTGTGTGTGTGTATGTGTGTGTGTATGTGTGTGTGTATGTGTGTGTGTGTGTATGTGTGTGTGTATGTGTGTGTGTATGTGTGTATGTGTGTGTGTATGTGTGTGTGTATGTGTGTGTGTGTATGTGTGTGTGTGTGTATGTGTGTGTGTATGTGTGTGTGTGTGTGTATTGTATGTGTGTGTGTGTGTGTGTGTATGTATGTATGTGTGTGTATGTGTGTGTGTGTGTATGTGTGTGTGTGTATGTGTATGTGTGTGTGTGTATGTGTGTATATGTGTGTGTGTGTGTGTGTGTATGTGTGTGTGTGTGTATGTATGTGTGTGTGTGTGTGTGTGTGTGGGGGGGGGTAGTTTTTGGGGTGGGGATCTCATCTGTAAAATATTCTTAGAGATAGAGGTAAAGAGGGAGAGAGAGGTGTGGATTTTGTTGGAAATTATTGTGCATAATTGCAGCATTTAAGCCAAATCTTGTTGGAGTAAAATAGTTATCTGGACAGTGAGTGTTTGCCATTTGTATATGTGTAAAGTATTGAGAGAGAGAGAAAATGAACACGTTGCAATTTACTTACATAAGTCCTCTTTTTCCTCTCTCCCTCCCACTCTCTCTCTCTCTCTCTCTCTCTCAGTGTATCAGTCATATGGTTTGTTGGGATGTGTTGGTCATACATCTGTGGGGTTGGAGAAAGAAATTTTATCAGTTTAACATCCCATCCAAATTATTATTAATTATTATTATTAGCAGAAAGGGGGCAAGAAGTCTGATCGAGGCCATAATAATAATAATAATAATAATCCTTGCATTTGATATAGGGCTTTTCGCATCTTCTCGACCTTAAAGCGCTTCACAGAATAGACCGCGAGGACTGGGATGGGAGACGGGGTGGTGCGAGGATTTTGGAAGGATAGTTCTAATAATAATCCTTGCATTTCATACGCCGCCTCGCCATGTCTTCCGAGGCGTCTCAAAGCGCTTCACAGAATATACTGTAACGTGTAGCAACTGTGTATTTTTGTGGGCGAGATGCGGAGGCCAATCGCGCACAGCAGCGTCCCTACATGACCACATTTTTTTTTTGAGGGATTATTAGCCCCAGAAATCCACCAATCGACTAACAACCGGGTTCCTACTCATTGCTGGTAAACAGAGGTGTGTGGAGTGAGTAAGGAAATTGCCTAAGGCTTCGCCCTGACCGAGAGTTGAACTCAGGTCCTCTCTCTTGTGAGGCGAGGGCTGTAACCGCTGAGCTACAGGACACCAGTGAACGTAATTGCATTTCAGCCAAACAGAACCACGTTTGGAAACACAAGTCCGAGGTTTCCTAACATTGGAAACTCAATCTGCCCTGAAGCCAGTGATGCGATACCTGCTTTGGCTCGTTCTATGGACAGAGACCTGGGGGCAAACAAACCATCTCATCGCTCCCACAGCGTGCAGGAGACAGAGAGATGCACGGACAATTAATCTGATTTTTTTTTTCTCCAATTTTATTTCGCAAATTTGGACGGAAGAGGAATGAGTATTGGCCAGGCCACCAGAACTCTCTGTACTCCTCAAATAGTGCCAATAGGATGTTGGGTATGAGTTTGAGGACCTGAGTTTGAGATCTCTCGTTTGGGTACCTACCAGGACTCCTGTAGCTCAGTGGTTCCAGCACTTGCCTTGCAAGCGAGAGGACACAGGTTCGATTCCCGGTCAGGGCAAAACCTTAGGCCAGTTTTCTTACTCCACACACACGCTTTTCCGGGGGTAATAATCCCTCCCAAAATAATTTGGTCGCTCAACCCACGACTGTTTGTAGGTTGTTGCTGTGTACAATTGGCTGCCGCGTTTTACACACAAAATACACAATCACTACATTATATTCCATAAAGCACTTTGAGACGTCTCAACTCTCAGTTTGGTTGGGAGCTTCTTAAGTCCGGTGATGGGTTTCCACACATGTCAGACAGACCCCCGGCTGGCCACAAAGATAAGGCCGATGTATTAAGAAATTATATAAGAAACAGCAACAAGTGACATAAGGAAAGAATCCGGTTTGTCCCCTTCCCTCTCACTACTTTGAACGTCATTGTGGTTTCAGTGAATCATGTTACAGTGGTTGAGTGTTATCAGATTCCTTAGTAACTTATTTCAACCTGTGGCAAAACTACACGTTCTTTCTTTGGTTTCCCTAAGGTGGTGACTGTTTTTTTTGTCCCCCCTTCTGAACGTATTTGGGTTTGATAGTGATCTGGATGTTCTCAGCACTTTGAGCCTGGGCTAGGGCATTGAGTTGGGGCGTGACTGGTGTCAAACTATCATTCCTAACTCACCCTTAAAAGGCATTCTGCTTTGTACTCCACGAAGCACTTTGTGACGTCGCAATGACATGATAAGGCGCTGTATCAAATGCAAGGATTATTCTTCTTATTATAATTATTAGAGAGACAATGGGCTGAATGACTTCCTGCTGCACTGTACAGTTGGACCATATCATGGAGTCACCTCCTCCACGACCTGTTGGGTGTCACTCTCGTCTCATGATTAACTAAAATAATAACCTTGTGCGTCAAACAGGACATCTCGGAGGGTGGCACAGGATTGCGTGAGTGGTAATGACTGTGTGTTTATGTGGGCAAGTTACCAGCACATGTATCTCACCCGGGCAGCTGTCTCTCAGCTGGGCTCAAAGTCCAAAAGAAAAAGTGTCATTAATTTTGTTTTCCCCGAAGGAGTATAGACGGGGAGGTTTAACGTCTCAGCTAAGGACAGCGCCTCACGCTCTCTCTCTCGCTCTCTCTCCCCCCCCCACCTCCAGCACTGCACTGGACTGTGTGTGCTCAAAGTTCCCGACGTGAGGGCTTGAACACACAACCTTTTGACTTGGAGGCGAGAGGGTGAGTGACCGAGTGCTGACGACAAGGTTGACTCACTTAAATCACTTTTTTCGTGCAGTCTGCATTGCAAGTCGCTATTGAGCGCCGGAGTGAGACAAAAGGGCTTTGATTGTGGCTCACGTTGTCATGACTGAAATGACTGATTTCCCAGCAAACTGCCACATGGATTTCTGGAGCTCAGTGGTTAGAGCGCTGGGCTCGCAAGCGAGAGGATCTGGGTTCAATTCCCAGGTAAGTTTCCCTCTGGCAAGTTTCCTTGCACAAGCGGAGTAAAGAAACTTGCCTAAGGTTTTGCCCTGACCCGTCTGGGAATCAAACCTGGGTCCTCTGGCTAGTGAGACGAGGGCTCGATCCACTGAGCTACAGGACTGGGGAGCGATGTGTCGTGGGCAGCCTGTGTTGTTAATGAGGTGCTGATTGACCCCTCGCTCTCTCTCTCTCTCTCTCTCCCTCTCTCCTCAGCTCGGCAGGTGGAGAATGCCGCAGCCCCGGGTCAGGCTGATCGTGACCGGGGACGACTTTGGTTACTGTTCGCGAAGAAACCGGGGAATCGTGGAGTGTTTTAAAGCCGGCGCCGTCTCCAACGCCTCTCTCCTCGTCAACGGCAACTCAGCCCAGGAGGCTGCCACGCTAGCCTCGAGGTCAGTTCGGCTCGGCTTCAGCGCTCGCCCTCTCCTCGACAGTCAAACCGTCATCAGAATAATTCCCCTCACATTTAATCCGACCTGTGTTTACACAGCGCCACCTCACTCACGCAGGGCAGCGTCCCAGAGCGCTTGATAATGGCGGAGCACGATGCTGGGGGGGGATGGGAGGGGGCGCGGTGACCGTAGGCGCTGGTTCAATAGGGAGGTCTTCAGGCCGGACCTGAAGATGGGGAAGGAGGGGGCAAGGCGGAGGGGCAATCCAAAGGACAGCAATGTCCGACAATGCAGCTCTCTCTGCCCCCAGCACTGAATTGGAGCGTCAGTCCAGACCAATCCAGTTTCAAGTCTCGACGATGGGGGTTTGAAACCACGACCGTCAGACTGAAGAGGAGAGAGTGCTACGGACTGAGTCAGACTGACACACACTGGTCTCTCTTTCTCTCTCTCCCCCCACACCCCCTTCTCTCTGTCCAACGCTGAAACCCGAAACTGGTGGAAACACCACATCCTTGTCAGAGAGACTTGGATTAGCCCAAAGCTAACAGTGTCTTTGTTTCTCACTGTAGTTAAGAGCAAAGGTTGGGTTATAAAACATGATATTTCCGGATTCCTTAATAATAAACATAGAAGGATGTCATTTCTAACTCACAGGAGATATATCCTACCTTCGGCAAGTTTCCTAATGCCACACACCTCTGTTTACCTCCAGTGAATAGAAACCCGTTTGTTAGTTGATTGTTGGATCACTTTCCAGGGGTAATAATCCCTCCAAAAAATTAATAATAATTGGTCATTCAATCCATGACTGTTTGTGGGACACAGTCAACCAATCGACTTGACAATCCATCAGCTGACAAGTGCTTTGATACGTCTCAACGAGGTGATACAACACTCTATTAAATACAGAGATTATTATTGTTATTGTTATGAGGTGCTTCACGGGATTAAATGGGAATTGTGGTGACCGTGTGTTTTCTCGGCGATGACGTGGAAATGCGCTGCATGAAATGCAAGGATTATTAATTACTATTATTATTACTGCATTTGACAAGTATAAAGTAGCTTGGGTTCAGAAAGATGCACTTACCAGCCATAGCCACGGGGCCGCAGGCTCGAGCTACAATCGGAAGCGTGTTACCCACTGTACCACCCAGGCTGATGAAATATTACATTAATCCCCAGGTTTCGCTGTGTCTTAAAGCGATTGTTGGTCACATTCACTAACCCGTGGCTCCCACTAGCGGTCAGCAATAGGCAGTTGTGTTTGGTACTGTAATGGTGAGATGTCTCGCGGGCAGTTACCGTACAGTGTGGTGTGAATATCTATAGATGATGATGATAATAATGCTTGCATTTGGCAGAGCACCTTATAATATGTCTCAAAGTGCTTCACGGCAATGTCCCACAAACAGCCATGAAAACAGCGATTGTCTTGGTTCTCAATATAAAAAATTGCTGTAACATTTTTTTTTGTTTCTCCCACAAATTACAACGGCCACCGCACTTCACAGTACATCCTGTGAAGAGGCTTTGAAACGTCTCAACGACGTGACAAGGCGCTGTGTCAACTGCAAGGATTATGATTATCAAATATAAATCAACAAATATTTTTTCTTGAACTGTACAGTAAGTTGAATTGCAGTTACTGATACTAATTGAATGAAGTTCTGCCAGGGATTACCATTAAAGCCTTGTTGTTGTTGCTGTTGGGGTTACAGACATGGAATTCCACTTGGTCTGCACGCTAACCTGTCAGAGGGTTTACCTGTTGCTCAGCCACTCCGGCTGGGATTATCCCTGCTCAACAAGCGTGGAGTTTTTCACGGAAAAATGGGATTTCGGGATATCCTAAAGAGCGGAGCCATCAAACTCCCAGAGGTACCAGAACCGTAGATATTTACAGCCCAGAAGGCCATTCGCCCACCGTGTTGTGCTGCCTCCTTTAAAGAGCTATCCTTTCAGTCCCATATCCCTCGATCCCGTGACCTGACGAACATCTGGTCACCTCAGTCTTGAAAATGTGATTGGATCCAGTCATAATCTTTTGGGGGAGAGGGTGGGGGTGAGTTCCAGATTTCCACCCTTTGTGTGAAAAAATGCCGCCTGATTTCACTCCCCTCCCTCGCTTCCTTCAAAATCCCTTCTGAAGACCCTCCTCTCCGGCCTCGCCTTCGGTCACCCTCCCACCACTCACCCTCCCTGCCCTCCAACCCCTCCCAATCCCGACCCCCAGCTCGGGTGCAAACCCTCGACTGTCTAGGGCCTTGGGACGTGAAAGGCGCCGTGCAAATATAACTTCTTGTTGTTGACAACAGGTTGATCAGGAGCTGAGGGCTCAGGTGGAGCGGTTCCGTGAACTGACGGGATATTTACCGCATCACATGGATGGGCACCAACACGTACATGTTTTACCCGGTGAGCACTTTCTGCTGAGGCGAGAGAGAGAGCGATTGATTCCTGGAAGTGTCAGAGATTGCAGTGAGGTAGCGTTGAGTGAACCCACGGGTTTGTTTGCTGTGTCCGCAGATATCCGCGATGTATTTGCAAACGTGCTCTCGGATTATGGGATCAGGTTCACACGGGTCCCCATCGAGCCGGGGCTCAGAGACTGCCACTGGATCTCACACCAACTGATGGCGTTTTACCGGGAGGTGGAGGAGGATGCGTTCAGTTCAATGCACGTGTTTCGAAGGCATGGAATCAGGTAAACGGCCACCTGTGGGAGCACAATATGGGGATTTAAGCCCCTAACCTCACCGGCTCCTGGGGTCAAACAGTGACCGGATCAGTGGGGAGAAACAGACTAACACTGCTTCTCTGATAGATAATAATAATCCTTGCATTTGATACAGAGCCTTACGTCTTCGATCTGTCAATCGACTTAACAACCGGGTTCCTACTTACTGTTAGGTAAACAGAGGCCTGTGTGGGGAGTAAGGAAACCGGCTCCTCTCGCTTGCGAGGAGAGTGCTCTAATCTCTACACTACTGGAGTCCAGATAACTGAGCAGAGAAGAAATGACGTACCTTACTGAAACCATCGGGTCTTCCTCCGTTCTTCAATGAAGTTCATTCTCCAATGAGGCTTTATTTGGAGCCTTGAGACATGAGTAGTTGTTTCCGTGACTGTGCAAACGCAGCCTGTAGTCCAGCTCGCCTCTGTTGGCCAGTGTAGAGTCTCAGCACTCCGAGACACTATCCCGCTGAAGAAATACAAGCTGTTGCGTTGTTAGGGTTGACTGTGTGTCAGTGTGTGCGAGAGGATAGGGGACTATCCGGCCTTTTATTAAAATGCGTTCCAGAACTGCAGGATTCCTAATAATAATAGTAATCCTCGCATTTGATATAGCGCTTTTCACGTCGGGAGGACGTCCCAAAGCGCTTCACAGAACACACTGTAAAGTGAATTGACTGTATATTTGTGGGCGAACGCGGCAGCCAATTGCGCACAGCAATGTCCCACAAACAGTCGTAGATTGAAAATGACCAATTTATTATTGTTTTGTTTTGGAGGGATTATTATTAGGCTCTGTGTGGAGTAAGGAAACTTGCCCAAGGTTTCGCCCTCTGCCTGGAATTGAACTCAGGTCTCTCACTTGCAAAGCGAGTGCTCTAACCACTGAGCTACAGGACTCCACATTTGTATTCAGCCTCGCTTTAAATCTGTCCGAGTCAATACATGGTGTAACAGACTGTGAGGCATTCAGGACCGAGTCTTAACCGCAGAATGGAATTCCCTGCGGATCCTGACAGCACCACAAAAGGTGCTCGTTTCTAAAGAAATGGGCTTCAATCGCCCTGTCTGAGGTCCATCTCAACACTTTGAGCATCTCTCCCTTCCCTTCCTCCTTCCCCCCGTGCTCTTTCCCCCCTTGTCTCTCACGCCCCCCCCAGTCAGGAATGTTACCAAGGAATCCTCCCACTCAGTTCCTGTTAACCCTGCAAAGCTCTAAAGGGTGGTCCAAGCAGCGGGAAAGCTTCCCAGACAGCGCTCCCAATGGGAAGCTGAGCGGTTTTAGCTGGTTAGACACCCGGTTGGCCAAAAACAAAATGACTGAAATGTTAAGTGCCTAAACCTGACACAAAGGGCACTGTACAAATGTACTTTGTGTTGTACTGTGACACACCTCTGTGTATTGAGCCCCAATGTCTCTGCTCTTGTTTCCCGGCTGCAGGTGGCCTGATATCTACATCGGTTTGACTACTATGGGGAAGCACATGGCAGTGCAGAGCATCCAGGCAGCCATTGGCAACGCCACAGCATCACAGAGGCTGAAGGAGAACTCCTTGGACATTGCTTTTGGGGGGGAAATGGGGTCCGTGCCAGGGGATGGGTCCCTGACGATGGAGTTGATGGTGCATCCTGGTTATCCCAGCGTTCCCCAGGAAGGAGGGTGTGGAGAGGGCCCGGATGAGTTTTCCCAGTCTCGGGAACGCTTGAACGAGTTGAAGACTCTTAAGGACCCCAGGCTCCTAAAATATTACGAGGAGAATAATATTCTACTGTGCGCATTTAAACATTTATAAAAGGGAATAGACAGAAGGTAGGAGATAGAGAAGAGGCTGGATGTTCAATGAAGGAAAGCTTAGGAGATATGTGTCATAGGTTAGAAAATGGCATAGCTTTTATAATAATAATAATCCTTGCATTTGATACAGCGCCTTACCACATCTTCCAGACTTCTCAAAGCGCTTCACAGGATTTACTGAAAAGTGAGTTGACTTTAGATTTTGTGGGCGAAACACGGCAGCCAATTGCACACAAACAGTCGTGGATTGAGTGACCAAATTATTATTATTTATTTATGTTTTTCTTAAAAGAGGAATTATTACCCCCAGAAAAGCGATCCTCCAATCGACTAACAACCGGGTTGTTACTGCTAGGTAAACAGAGGCGTGTGTGTGGAGTAAGGAAACTTACCTAATTTTTCGCCCGGGCGGGAATCGAACCCGGGTCCTCTCACTTGCAAGATGAATGCTCCAACCACTACACTACAGGACTCCTTTTACCAAGTTGATGTGAATTGATTTATAGAAAATAGCTATAGAAATTCTTTTTAAAAAAAAACACACACTATTAGGGACGAAAAGGGCAAAGTAAGGGGATTTTGTCCGAACAAACTGGAGAGAAATCCCGGTATTTTACACATGCTTTTTGGAAAGAGTTTCGGTCTGGCTGCAATAACCAGGACACAAAGGCTGTTGAGGGAGGCCAGCAAAATGGGTCCCAGTTGATGGGGACTTTGTTGGGAGGGGGACGTACATTGGAACGATCGCTAGCAAAGTGACTCGTTTGGAAACAAGGGGGTCGATAGAGAATCCTATCCATTCGAATCAAATTGATTCACGCAACAAGGTTGGGGGTTGCACCCCCCCTCAATCTATCTACTTTAAGAGGAGCTGGGAGGGAGAAGGCCCTGAGGAGGACCAAAACCAGTCCTCTGAGCAGCCCCAATCCACGCCACCCATAACCCCCTTTCTTGCCCCTCTCCCAATTCAGCAGGCTGCTCGTTGGGGGCCTCCTCACCTTCGACTGGCCGATGGACGTGTCAGTCAAGTCAAGCCCACCCATCCTAAAGGGGGGAACGACCCTTTCACTGAGGGGGAAAGAGAACAACGTACTTGACATATCTTGAACAAAGCTGACAAATAGCTACTCTTTACAAGTTAGACAGTAGGCATTAACCAGATGCCTAACCTGTGTTGCAAATCCAGCCAAGATGAAGGGATTGATAACAGGACGAAGGGTATGAAATCCTTTGGGTTATCAACAGCATGGAGGCTGGGTTTGGAAATGAACGCTAATTGAAAACGAGCCGAATACTGAGTATTTGTTTGCGGTATGCACGTGTGTGAACTGTGCAGGACATGCGGGTTCTTGCAATAATGTGGTGACTAACCCCTCCTTTTCCCCCACTCTCACCTCCCAGAAATTATTGGGAAGATTTCTGCGGGGGTGACAGACAATTGCTGGAACCTAAAGGGCAAATTTCGGGGAAAGTGCTATGAGGCGTTTGTTACACGAATCATTTCACAATTTTAATACATTTATTAAAACTTAAATTTTTTAAAAACAAATTTAGATATATCCAAATTCGTTTTCCCCAAAAAAAATTTTACAACAAAAAATACGTGACCCTGGGTCGAGCGAGTTGTGATCTTGAACAAAGGGAGAAATGCAATAGGGAAATGTAGAATATTTATAATTCACTTTGGAACATTAGGTTTGAAAATAAAATATTATCACAGGCTGGACTGATTTTTTTCCGTATTACTAATGGTAATGATACTGGGGCTGAAACACATTGAACGCTTAATAATAATAATTATTATTAATTAAATTTTAATTCATTATGAACACTGGCAGGCTGCAGAATCAGCCTGGAATTAGCTCATGACACATCCTCTTTCCCAGTTGCTATGTTCTTGAAGCGACCTCTCACTTACTGCAAACACACCGAATCATCTATTTTCAACCAGGATTTTTCTCTCCCCACTGGAAGCATTTTCAACCCAATCTCAACCAGAATAACTTTTTCTCTCGCATCTTTGGTCCACAGCAATGTCAGGCTGCCAGACTGCGTTTGGTTCAGAGGCACTGAGTCACAGTGTAATTGACTCACGCCTGCCTAACCAACCAGCTCAATCACAAGTAGTCAGAAAAAAATCAAGTACACAACAACTACAACAACTTGCAAAAGATGACGAAGAGGGGGCTTGTTAAATAGCATTTGTTTAGCGTGAAGAGAAGAGTGAGTGAGAAAGAACCAGGAAGGGGAGGTGACGAGAGAGAATGTTTAGATAATAGTAATCCTTGCATTTCATACAGTGCCTTATCGCGTCTTCAAAGTCTCAAAGCGCTTCACAGAATATACTGTAAAGCGAATTGACTCCTTTTTGTGGGCAAAACGTGGTAGCCAATTGCGGACAGCAGTGTCTGACAGTCGTGGATTGAGTGAGAGACCAAATTATTATTAGTTTTAATATTTTTTTGAAGGGATTATCACCCCCGGAAAAGCGAACTGCCGATCGACTAACAACCGTTAGATGTGAAGCCGGGAGAGGAGGGGGGAGAAGATTGTTAAGTACAGTTCAAGACAGAGAGAGGGAAGAGAGGCAGAGAGAGAGAGAAAGAGAGAGATCGAGAGATCAGATCTCTGGTGATACAATACGTGAAATTTTATTTCAAACCCTAGGTGTTCTGGAAGAGCTCAAACCCAGCAGCCAGCAAGCATTCACAACCGTACGTTTACAGGCCCAAATCAGAGAGTTCGCTTTAAACAGACAACACTGTAAAAAGAAATGAATTTAGATCCTTATAGTCAGAGCAAGGAAAAAGTCATGTACAGACAGGAGTGAGTGTGAAATGTATGGTTGCTTAAGAGTCAGAATAACAATGCCCAGAAGTAATCTACTTAAAAATGATTGAATTATCGTGCTGTTATTTTGACGAATATTTAACATCACCAGGCATTCAGCAGTGGGGAAAAGCAGTTAAACCTTTAGGCCAAAACGTAAATTCCCTTCTATTTTCTAAACATTCCCTTCTCCTTATGGAGAAAGAGAGCGATGAGCGGAACACAGGGAAACACTTGACCATTACTGCTCTAACCACTGACAACACATTACATTTACACAGTACTTTTCACGTCAGGAGGACGTCCCAAGGCGCTGAACAATCAGGGATTTGGACCCGAGCTGGGGGTTGGGATCAGGAGGGGTGGAGGCCGGGGAGGGTGGGGGCCAGGGATGGTGAGGGTAGGAGGCTAGCCAAAGGCACGGTCAAAGAGGAGGGTCTTGAGACAGGCCTTGAAGGAGGCGAGGGAGGGAGCGAGGCGGATTGGACTGAGGGATGGCGTTCCAAAGGGCAGGAGGCAGAGAGGCTGAAGGCCTGACTGCCGATGGTGGGTCGGGCAGGGCGGGGGATGTGGAGCAGGCCGGAGCCCGCTGAGCGGACAGGTTGATGTTAGCAATGCAAGAGTAGTTCCTGTTCAAGACCAGACACAAATCCAGATTCTTCACAGTTCGCCCTGAGTGAAAGATCCTAACACTCCTTCGATCCTAATACAACATTCGAACATCCGGAACCTTAACCCTGTTCAACTCATTCAGCCCTCTCTATAGCAACTATAGCTGAAACAACAGGCACTGGGAAGCCATAACACAACAAGCAGTGAGCGACTTGGCTCAAGTGCCTTATCCTTGCCAGGTAAAAAAACTCGCTGCTACCGTTAACCTGACTTTACTGCCACAGCTAAACTAGAGGAGGCCGAGAGCACGGGAACGCTTGATTGAGTTACACCAGAAAGATGGGGCACAAGGGAAAAATAAGTATTTGGAGTTGAGGTACAGAGCAGCCATGATCTAATAGAAAGGCAGGGCAGACTCGAGGGGCTGAATGGCCTCCTCCTGTTCCTACAACCGATTAGTAATCCCCCGTCCACACCTTCTCTATTCCCATCGTGTTTCCGCAAATCATTCACATCTGCAAGGATAAAAGCTAGGGCTGGTCTTGTTACCAGCTTTATAACCAGAGGTAACCGAGTCACTAGTTTACCTACAACTGAGTTAAATCCGCAGAGAGCACGGCAAGAAAGGGGGAGAATGAAAAAAAACACCGATGATAAAATACTCATCCCTGTTATAACATTTAATCACATGCAAAACCATGGGCTTCCCATTTCATTTAACATCACTCTATGGTAACAGGAGCCGATTTACACAGGAGCCAAGTTGTTTTCTCTCAACAATATTAATTCTGTTTTTTGTCTCCCTTCCAATGTTAGTAGCACATTGTAAGGCCGGGTGTACTTGCAACCAATTTTCCACACAGAACAGTGCAACGATAAAAGAAAAAAAAGTAAACAGATCACTTCAATATTCACCAAATCTCCTTGTGGGGGTGGGGGGGGGAGGTGGGGGGAAGATGCAGTGTTGCTCTTTGTCACTTTTGAAAAAAGAATTGCTTTATAAAATCAGGAGGAGGTGGGTGGGTGGGTGGGGGGAGAAACACACACAACAACTGGCGCGAGTTCAAGGGTGGAATACTGTCTGTTTAAAATGACTTGTGGAATTGTGTGAGAAAAAGCTGTTTACTATCAAGCAGTGATTTTGTGTGTTGGTTGGGAGGAGAGGAGGAGAGGAGGGGGAGGGTGTTTGGTTTGTGTTTAAACTAGAAAGCAGAACTGGAATGTCAGTTAAAGTTTTAATCCCGTCTGAACAGTCAGTATCTAAACCATTTCTGATTATATGAAAACTGTAGAAAGTTAGTAACAGCCACAAGTAAACACACCAGAGGTGAGACTTGCATGTATTCTTCAAGAGTCCTGTTGGGTGGTGAGTTTGAAATGGATTGCCCAGAATCTGCTATCAGAGGCAGAGTGACACGAGGGTCTTTAGTCTACTGGTCGCTTTTCTCCGTACTTCTTTGTAAACTCTTCCGCGTTCTTAAAGAATTTTTTACGGTCCTTAGAGTATTCTTCGGCTAGGTCGGCTCGGAGAGGATGCTCAGGCTGAGGGTCGTTTACCAGTGCTATGAGGGACTGGATAACTGAAAGCAGAACGGGTCGAAGGTTATTACAGAAAAGCTGATCGACCGGTAAACCGGGCAGTAAGTTGGCAAATGACGAGGAAGGTGGAGATGAAACACACACACACATCAACTTCCCGGCACATCAACACACACACATAAACACACACACACACACATCAACTTCCCGGCACATCAACACACACACACACACACATCAACTTCCCAGCACATCAACACACACACACATGTAAGCCATTTTGTGCAGAGCTGCACTGATGGGAATCTCATTGGACACCATTGATGGGTCCCTCAAAATAGCTGCTCCCTCCCGGGTTGGTTGTCACGACAACTTCCGTTTACATTGGGCCCTTCACACGGGGTAGAGTCTCAGAACGCTGTGATAGGCTTTTAACCCGGCTTAAGTATCTTTCAGAACTTAAAATAACAATTGCTGGATGAAAGAAGACCGAGGTCCATCTAGTCCGCCTTGCACCATCCCGGCAGTCGCTTGACACGTCATGTCCCAAACTACACACTGTATCCCACAGTAGCATTTCCTCACAGAAATCTATCGAGTTTGCTTTTGAAGGAATCAACAGTTTGGTCAAGTTGAAGATTGACAAAATAAATAAAAGGCAAATAAATAAGTTAAATATGTGCTGGAATCTCTCTCTCTCTCTCTCGCTCTCTCACCTTGGTCAGTTCTGGTTGCTGGTTTCCAGTTTTCAGCACTAATGACCGGCAGACACACTTGTCCTTTCTCATCGATGTTGGGGTGGTAGATCTTTGTTTTGAAGGTGATCTTCGGGGGTTTGAAAGGATATTCTGCCGGGAAGTTGATTTCGATCCTGAAAGCCCCTTTGTCATACGGAGGGTTATCCTAGAACAACAGGAAGGATATTTATTAATCACGTGCTGAGCGAAGCACTTCACAGGATATACTGGAAAGTGTAGTGACTGTCTATTTTGTGGGCAAAATGCAGAAGCCAATTGCGCACAGTAGTGTCCCACAAACAGTCGTGGATTGAGGGACCAAAGCCAACCCTAAAACAAGCTTATTCGCTCTAATTAAAAGGTTTTACACTCTTGATTCTTGCTCTGCAATCCTTTATAGTTTGAATAGCTCCAGTGTTCAACAATAAACTTGGTAATTCCCACTACGTGATCACAGTGAAAATAACCAACCACAGTGCCCCAGGTTTAATCCTTAGTCACGGCTAAGTTACTAGTGGATTCAGGCCAGGATACAGGCAAGGGTGTTTGATTTGTAGCTGAGATTGCAAAGTTGTGCCAATTGGAAACAGTTTTTTCCATGAGCCAAACAGACAGAGAGAGACGAGTGTATATTTACATCAACAATAAACACCGTGAAATAATGAGGTTTGTATATTTGAGTATACCTTATGCATCATGTGAAGCGCATTGGGACGTCCTCCTGACGTGAAAGGCGCTAGAAATAATAATACTTGCATTTGATATAGCGTCTTCAAGGCGTCTCAAAGCGCTTCACAGGATATACTGTAAAGTGAAATTATTGTACTGCAAGGACAATAAAATACTGGACCTCTCACGCCTTACAAAATGACAAGTTGGTGAGTGAATTACTGCACTGAACAATCCCACTATTGTTCCAAGTCTAATTATCACGTGAACAGATTCTCAAAGCTGTGGCCATGATATTAATCTGTAAGGTACACTCGAAAATACAAACCCCAAGGCTCTGTCTAAACCCACAAAAAAGCAAGTTTTCCACAAAAGACAACTTGCATGTTTCTAAAAACTCACAGCAGGGTTTATATTTTTCGAGCACTATTGCACTGGCAACACTAGCAGGCACTGTGCACGCAGACATCCACATGCTTGCAGTTCTGAAAATAACTAGCAAGTTCAATCAAAGATAAATTTGAGAACACCTGAAAGTAGTAATTCACCTTTCACAAATTCAACAGAGTTTTGCAAAGAACGTGTGAAAAACTCCAGTAGTATAAAGAGCGTGTGTGTGTGTGTCTGGGGGGGTGGGGGGGGGGTGTTTGTGATATTTGCAAACTGATTTATAAATAGCAAATCCTGCTACTACTTGGGAATGTCACAGAAACCCCCTAGGAACTCTGACTGGGTGCCGATTTCCCAACTAATGCTTTCTTTGACTTTGTAGGCTCTGGCCTCCTGCATATCCCCCATGCCTCCGTTCCACCATTGGTGGCCGCACTTTCAGCCACTATGCCCCAAAACTCTGGAACTCTCTTCCTCTATCCCTCCGTGTTGCCCCTTCCTACCCCACCTTCAAATCGCGCCTGAAGACCTTCCTCTTTGACCAGTGCCTACGGTCACCTCCTCCCAGCTCCGCCACTGACAAGCGCTCTGGGACGCTGCCACCTGTGAGGCGCACTGTGTAAATGCAAGTTCTTGTTGTTAGAGAGGTTGAAAATGGATCGCTATCTGACAGGAGTTCCAGGGGATTTTCCAGCTAAACACACATGCAAGTCCGCACTTTGTATCAAATTCTTTTTCTAAATCCCGTCTCTGAACCCTCTTCAAAAAAAACTGCTCTAATATTGAGAAATATATTTTTGGAGAAGTAACAACAAAAAACAACAACTTGCATTTATACAGCTCCCTCCACGGGGATAGGGTACCAGAGTGCTTGAGATCAGCACAGACTTAAGTTAGGTCAAATGGCCTGTTTCCGTGCTGTATTCTTCTATGTAATTTGATATGTAATACTTACAGGAACGATAAGGCCTTGCCAGTAGAATACATTTGCATCCTCCACTTGGATGTTACGGAAATTCTTCATTCCAGACTTGCGGATTTCTTCGAGTTCCTGCACCAAAAAAAAAACAGGACAATGTTAGAATGTTAACTGGCCTCTTAACAGTGAGTTGATTTCTTTCTCTCTCTGCTGACCACTATAATCACACAAAGGTTTGAAATAAGGCCTTATGTTTGACTTGCAGGGAATAGGACGGGCCTTCGCTCTACTCAGAGTAAAGGATCTGTAACCCACACTGGCCCAACTCATTATTTAGACGATTTGTTTGGTTCTAGAATAAAAGCAAGCTACTCTTGAGATCCAGTAACACAGAGCACGGTCACTCCGCTTGCAAGGTAAGAAAACAGCACATTCACTACAAAAGTTTTGAAGTTAGTCTCAGCCGTGCTGTGCTGAACCCCTCAGGCTTGCAAGTTGTTGTAAGCTAAAGCTCTCATTATATAATGATTAAGTGTTTAGCAATGCCACACATTAGTGCTCAATACTTCCTACATGGCTACAAGCCTATTTATTTATTTACTTACCTTGGGGCATGTGAGAAAGTGATTAAATAAGTAAATCTTACAGCACAGAATGGAGGCTATTTGTCCCGTCGTGCCCGTGCCGGCTCTGTGAAAGAACTATCGACTAGTCCCCACTCCCACCCTCTTACCCTGTAGCCCTGCAATTCTTTCCTTAGTCCCTCTCCAATTCCCTTTTGAAAGCTATTATCAAATCTGCTTGCACCAGCCTTTCAGAAAGAGCATTCCAGCTCGTAACAACTCTCTGGGTAAAAAAAAAAGGTTCTGCTCGTCTCCCCTCTGTTCCTGAACGCTGCCTCATCATGCAGACAGCGACACTGCCAAACTGCATCGACAGACAGAGGCACTGACAGTGACTCGGGCTGACCAGGATCCATGGTTCATTCCTCAATGGCCTGGGAGCAGGTAAAGGCAGCTTCTTGTTGCCTTGCTATCCACATGCCTGAGCACAGATACATTTCAAGGGCTATTTTTGCAGCCAGCTGTGGAAGTCTTAATACAGCAATGCCACAAGTCTCAGGCAAACCAGCTATAATCAGGGCAATGATCACTCTCCCTCCCCGTGGAGAGGTGTCCTGCCTCCACTCTCAGTTTCCTATATCACTTTAACACCAGCTGATTTTGACCAAAAGTAGCACTAGCTTTGGTTTGTATGGGGGGGGAAGAGAGTAATAAAGGGAAACTGGACTGCAGCGCGGAGCAGAAAGGTTGGCAACAGAAGTGAGAGGCAGAGTTAGCAAAATTTTGCTTCTAGTCCTGGAACACCAAAGGCCAACAAAGTGGCTTTCAGCACACGTCTCCAACCGCTCTACTTGTGTGTTTGCCAGGAACTGGCTCTATTTTTACACGATAATTGCAGTGCTAGATTAGCAGAGGAAACTTTTCTCATGTTCCCTCTCCGCTAATCAATAAACGTTCCCCCCTGACCTCCCCGGGAACCAAATCCGGGTCCTCTCGCTTGCGAGGTGAGAGCTCTAACCACTACGCTACAGGAATCAAAATCAGTTTATTTACCAGTTTAACCTCTGTTTCTCAGTGCAAGTAGTTTGGGGTTGGGGGGGGGGGGGGGGGGGTTGTGGGGGAGAAGAGAAAGAGGGATTGGTAAAGTCAAGAATCAGCGACACACCAGAGCGAAAGTTCACCAACCCTTCTCCGTCCACAAATCCTTCTCCAAGTGGAGATAAGCTCAGTTACAGTGTCAGGTCATGCACACTTGCCTCTCTCATATGGAGAGGCTCAAAATGTGCTCCTCACAAGCTAAGCAAGCCTGACATTCCAGGTTTATAAAGCGAAATCCAAGTGAAAGAGCAAAACGCTCAATTGGCTGAAACTGGTAAAGAGCTGAGATCCCACCAGCACTCAGTCACCCCAGGGACAGCGAATCACCATCTTAGTCAAGGGTGTCTGACACACACGGAAACCCGTCACCGTGACCGGCCGGTGTCTGACACACACGGAAACCCGTCACCGTGACCGGCCGGTGTCTGACACACACAGAAACCCGTCACCGTGACCGGCCGGGTGTCTGACACACACGGAAACCCGTCACCGTGACCGGCCGGTGTCTGACACACACGGAAACCCGTCACCGTGACCGGCCGGGTGTCTGACACACACGGAAACCCGTCACCGTGACCGGCCGGGTGTCTGACACACACGGAAACCCGTCACCGTGACCGGCCGGGTGTCTGACACACACACACGGAAACCCAACACCGTGACCAATTTATTATACAAATTTTTTTAAAAAGAGATTATCATCCCTGGAAAGCAATCCATCAATTGACTAACAACTGTATTCCTATGTACTACTAGGTATAACAGGCGTGTGTGTGAAGTATGGAAACTTGCCTACGGTTTCGCTCCGCCCGGGAATCGATCCCGGGTCCTCTCATTTGCAAGGCAAGCGCTCTAACCACTACACTGCAGGAGTCCACTGTTAAGGCAGCAATGGTAAAGGCGACCACAAAGATACGATAGAGGAGATTAAAGGTGTTATCGTCCGAACCCTAGCTTCCTTTTATCCACTCTCTTCACTTCATTCCTTGTTGAGGCAACAACAACAAAATTACATTTATAGAGCGCCTTTCACGTCGGGAGGATGTCCCATAGCGCTGGACAGGGTCAGCCATCTATATAGCTCTACAAGAACTCCGAACGTTAAGGAACACGATTGATATCTCCTGCTGTTTGATTTGTACACTGCACGCACGTTTCTCCCCCCCCCACCTGTGTGTCCTTTGAGCTGGGTGAACTTAATATTATAAGCTGATTAGTTTCTTTAT